CATTGAAAAACCCACCTGAAGTCAGAGATATTTTGGAGAATTTTAAAGAATGGCAGATATCATTTTGTTGACCTAGACATGAATCAGCTTAGGGTGGCTATTCTATCAATTAACCTCTGTATCCTTTTTTGGTTGATCATGTAATTGAAAATTTACCCGACATGATCTTGAAAGCACATTTACTTAGGTTAAACCTCATTTTATACTTTTTTGAGGTGTTAAAGGTTTTTCTAAAATCTCTTAAGTGCTCAATCAAGCTCTTGATTTTGACTATCATGTCATCAATATATACTTTCATGTTACGATCGATCTAGTTTTTAAACACCTTGTTTACTAGCCTTTGATAAGTCATTCCTATATTTTTCAATCTGAAAAGTATTATTTTATAGCAATAAAGGCCTTTCTTGATAATAAAGGCTGTTTTTTCCTCATCATTTTATAGTATTTTGATTTGTTTGTAATCAAAATAAGCATCCATAAAGTTGAGAAGGCCATGTTCGACACTATCATTTACCAATTAATTTATGCTAGGGAGAAAAAAACTATTTATGGACATGCTTTGTTTAGATCAATAAAGTCAACGTACATCTTTCATTTTTCATTGTGCTTTTTGACCATGACTACATTGGCTATCCATTCAGGGTAGTAGACCTCCTTGATAAAGCCTACTTATGTGAATCAATCAACCTCTTCTTTGATGGCTCTTTATCATTCTAGTGCAAAGGTTTTTTTTTTCTTTTATCAAACAAGTTTTATCTCGAGATTAGTATAAAACTTATGGACCATTACTTCAATATCAATTTCAGGCATATCGGATGTTGTCTAGGTGAACAGGTCGGCATTATCTCTCAGAAGTTAAATTAACTTATCTTTATGTTGAAGTTTGGTTTTGATCTACATATATTTTTTAGAGAGGCTATCCCATAACAAAATTGTTATGAGATTCTTGACCAACTCAGGTTAATTTTCATCCAAGTTTGGTCTTTAATCAATTATCTATTTTTGTTTAATTAGGTCAAAACCATATCCTACAAAAACAAATCTTGACATGATGATCAATATGTTGTTGATGACTTGTTGAATATATATGTAGTAAAATTGATATGTATTTTTCATTTCATACTATATTTTGGCCAGCTATTAACTCAGTCTAAATAACATATTGTTGTTTGCACTGGCTTAAATGTTCAATCGTCTTTGAAGTTACCTTAAAAAATTTGAAAAATAAAATAAAAGTTTTCCTTTTGTTAGAGCTTAAGAGCTCAAAGTGGCTTAAGAGCATGCTTCTGTTAGGTTATTGTTTCATTCTATGTTTTTGTTCATGGCTTCTTGCTTATTGTAAATTTCTGCTAGTTGCTTTTTTTTTTGTGCTTTTGGTTTCAGTTTTGATTGAACTGCTAGTCTACTTCCCAATCTTCTATTTCATTATTGTGACTTAACACTATCGTGCCTTAGAATGGTCTCCTCTAACCTCTTCAACCTTGTTGGGTGTTGAAAATTTTACTTTCAGATGAGGAGCTAAACTTATAAGTTACATATCAAATTGGCTAGGTCAACCTAATATTATATTATAGGCTGATGGGATATCAATGACCATTCTATAACCAAGGTGATAGTCTTGGATTCTATCTCCAAAGATATTGGTAACTTGATTGTTTTTTTCATCAATACCTATTCATTCTTAAATCCTATTAGTGCCATAGTGATCGGTTGTAGATGGTCCTCACTGATTTTCATTTTCTTCTTGGTATCATAGTATATGACGTCGATCAAGCTCTCATTATCAAATAAGATTCTCTTAACTATATAGTTGTACACTACGATTGTGATCACTATGGTATCATCGTATGAGTGTTGGATTTTTTCAAAATCTTTTAGACTGAATAAGATCGATTCATTTCTCTAATTTTTTCTTTTTACCGAGGTGCCTACTACCATAACCATACCTAAATTAAATTCCTTTTGATTGAGGTGGAGCTACATCCAGTGATCACATTAATCACCTCGACAATAAGCCTATTATTATTAGTTCAAACTTTTTTTTAAATCAGCTTGTCTCCTTAGACTTTTTTTTTTCATTCTTTGGCCTTATCTCTCTACTCATGTGGGTTCTCTTCAATCTTGTTTGTAATCTATTTTGGGTTAGCCTTGGCTTCGTTGCTCTACAAACCTTTGCAACTGACTTCTCCTTATTAGGGTTTTGATATCATTTTTTAGGTTGATGCAATCTTCAATATTAAGGCTTATGTCTCTATAAAAAGCATATCTTTTGATCACATCTCTCTTTGTAGTTTTGTCTTAATGGCTTCGGCTATCTAAGGTTAGGATTTCTTTTAATTTGCATTAGAATCCTCTCTCAAGAGGTATTCAATGTGGTATAGTTCCTTTCTGCATTAGGGTATCTAACTCTAATGTCATCTTCCTTTTGAGAGAGGATCGTAGAAATCTTTATCTTTCTTATGACCGAAGAGGGGGGATGAGCCTCTCTTATCTTGGTTGTTTTTCATTATAGCTTTGAAATTTATATATTTTTCAGTTATCAATAATACATCGGCTAGAATTTTAAATGGTTCTAACAACAAGGTTAACTATGTGACCGTTTGCTTTAGATTTTTAACTTGTAGAGCTTTCGTGTTAAAATGCGTGACATAACTCCTTAAAGATTCATTGCAACCTTGGTAGATCAAAATTGGACTTAAAGTTGTCTTCTTTGCTCTTCTGCTATTTACAAATCAGATTGGAAAGAATGGCTAAGCTCTCCGTATGTCGTAATTGACTTCAGCTCTAAACTGCTATACTAGGATTGAGTTGTGCCATTTAGAGTGGTAGTAAGGCTTTTGCATATCAAAGCTTCGTCTACACCTTGTATCATTGTGTTAGTCCTACAAAGTTTCAAATGATCGAAAGGGTCAAAAGTACCGTTGTAAGTTTTCAAGGTTAGCATTTTAAACCCCTTTGGAAGCATGACTCTATCAATTTTTTTTATGAAGTAAAAGGTCTCCAAAAACTTAAGCTCATCCTCAAATGCCATTGATTTTATTTTCAGGTATTTCTCCATGGCTTGCATCCGAGCTTCCAGGTCCTTATTTGGTTGGGGTTCAGGGTTTGTCTGTTTGGATTTTTGGGTTGTGGCATATGTCGAATTGTGGCTGCGATAATGGCGAAATGGAGTGTTATGCTCTTATTCTCTAGAGTGTTATATAAAATTTATTTCAGGTCGATTGATGTATTTTCTCTGTGTAAGGATAATCAATGTTAGAATAATAATTAGGCTTTATATAACTTAACAAAATATATACAAATATTTAAAAATACTTAATTGAATATATAAAAATTCATAATAAAAAATTCTACAAAATGTTAAATAAATAAATTATTTTTATATTTTTTTATTATTGCATATTATTCACATATTATCAAAAATAATATAATAAAAAATTTTATTAGACAATTTTATATTTCTCTAATCAAAATATAAAAACTTTATATTTCTTAAAATCATAAACCCCATAATCTCTCATCCTCTCTTAATATTATTTTTTTTTATCAAAATTTAAGAATTTAAGAACCAAAGGCTTTTTAAAATGATGAGGAATAGCCCAATTAGTACATAAAAAGAAAGTGGCCCAATTGTTGAAGCCTTTTTGTTGTTCACTAAAGCAAAATATTGTAATCTTATAGGCAACTGCAATTATAACAAAGGACTATTATTTTAGTTACCTGGATGAGGTTTATTAATTTTATAAATGAAGTTAAGGATTTTATTATATGTCTTTTTATTTAAGGTAAATTATCCAAAAATTCTTAAAGTTTATCTATAATTACATTCAAAAATATTGATAGCTATGACATGACTTGATTCAACATGTACAATTTATTGTTATAATGAATTGTGTTAAGCACAGTTTTATATATTTGTATCATATTGAATTAAGATTTTGAATTTATAAATTAAATAAAAAATATAAATTGATCTAACATTGAATTAATTATTTAGTTAAAACAAATCGTATCAATTGAATTTCATTATTTATAATATTTCTAATTTGACTGTACACGTATTTTCTTTTTATTTTAACAATTAAATCACTTATAAATCTAAAAAATAAAGATTTTCCAACTTTCCGTAATTTATAATTCAAACGTTATATTTTAGAAATTTTATATTTAAATTTCAAAATTAAAACTTAAAACCTATTTATATTACAAATATTTCTTTTAAAAAAGAGAGAAAATAAAATGGAAATATGCTTGGTGGCCAGTAGTAGAGGGTATATACTATATATGTTGTGTGTGTATATATACAAATTTACTGTCAGAACAGTAATTATTATATTTATCAAGGGAAAAAATGGAGGGTCAGAGCTAATTAAAAGAAAATAAATAATGGGGCCTTTAAGTTTTCTTCCTTGCCATAAAGAAAATGAGAGAAACCTTCCATCTAAGCCATGTTCTAAACTCACAGTTTGAGGTTGAAGAGGGATACAAATTGTCCTTTTTTTGGGAATATGGTAAATCATAAGACAAGACATGACTCTAGAAAAGGCTTGGTCCAAACAAGTTCATGAAGCAGGAGTAATGAACAAAATATTATCAAAGGTAATGATAGAGATTTTTATTCAAACACTTGCGCAAGTGCTGACATAACAAGGAATAATAATGCTAGGAGAGTTCATGATGCAATGATATGCTAATATTGAAGCCTGAAAAAGACAGCAGGCTGCAGCTGGAATCCTCCAATGTCCAATGCATTCAGATAGGTTACTCCATGCCTCTTTGTTGAATAATAATTTTCATATGCTCCCATCATGTATTCATGTCACTTCTCATCTACCCTCCACCATTGTGTTACCATAAAGTGAGGAATAGGGTAGATATAACAGTATTGTTCATCATCTCAATCAAAGTACAAGCATTACTTACAGTAAAATTAGGTAGATTATTCAAATATTTCCACAATCAACTCAAGTAACTCTATCCAATCTTTTTGGCCTGGAATATTGTTGAAAGAAACAAGGACTAATATCCTTACAAGTTACATGTACTGGCGTTAGACAATTATGAGCACAACGCGAAACTTTTACAGTAAGAAAGCACAACAGAATCCTCATTGCATACATATATGCATGTGCAAAACTAGACACAAATATTTATCTCTCGGCAAATGGGAATAAGCCCCCTAGAACTAGCAGGAGCAAGGGATAGAAGTAGAACCCTGGTACCTAGAGTGTTCCAAAGAATAATCAAGCACTTCTCACCCTTCAAACAAAATCTACAATTATTGATACAATATTAAGCCATTTATTCAGGAGGTGATTTAATAAGAACCAAAAAAGCTCAAGGTCAAAATTTTCATTCCAAAACTAGGTAGTGCACATAGAGCATCCGACAAAACAAAATCAGAACACAAACAAAGCTTTTCCATAAGCATCTAAAGAATTCAACAAATTTGACAATGTTTCAGACATATGAATGAAAAAGTACAAGACAAACAAAGAATTATCATAATACACCATAGCCTATCTAACGCCTTTGAGTTTTTCCAATGGAGCGTTTCCCAGTGAATAAATGTTTTGGTTTCAATGTAGGAATAACTCTATCAGCCTCTCCACGACGAGCATCTTTGTTCCTCTTCCTAACAGATTTCTTTGCCAGTTTATGTGCCTTAACCTTTTGAGCGGAGTCCTTGAAGCCCTCTCCTGGGGCAACTTCAATTGGAGGCTGTGATCGTGACCTTGACCTTGACATTGACAGGGACCTAGACCTCACACGTAGCATCTTATTTGGTTGGTCAACATCCATATCCATAACCTCACCACCATCATTACCTCCCCTATCAAGTGACCTCTCCCTTTTCCGGCCCCTTGACCTGCTGCGAGCCCGATTAATTGCCAGAGAGGGATCCAGTCCCATATTTGATAGCTGTCTTCCCATTCTCTCTGTTGTAAACTCTCTGTCCTTGTCAAACTTTCTTGGTACAGTGGGTCGACTCTCTGCAGTGCTTTTCTTGATCCTATGTTGTTGAATAAGCAAACTTTTCTTTTTCCGGATTGCAGCCAGTGCTTCTTGCTCTTCGGGAGACAATTCATTACCATCCATTTCAAATCCAGTATCTTCTTCTTCTCCTTGCCGAAGACCCTCTTCTTTTTCCAACTCTTCAAGCCTTAATAAGATATCAGGATCAATGAAGTCATACACATTGTGACCATCAAGAATTTCAGGTAGTATATCTTCCTTCCATTCATCATTGGCCAAAATATAGTTCTTCCTCAAATTAGCAGAGTAAACACCAGCACCACCATTTTCATCCTCCAAATCCTTTTCTGTCTTCCTCTTCTCTGGCTCTGCTGCTTGCCTAGCTTTAGCTTCCAAAACTGACTGAGGTATGCAAGGTGGCCTCTCCTTCTGGTCACGTGGCTTTGGGATAGCAACATGAAACCTATTGAGACAGTCATTTATCTTTTTGGATTTCATCTTCAATTCCACCCTCTGATTCAGTAACCTCTCACAAGCTGCATTCTTCACAGCAATCACTCCATCCTCGGTCAAAGTACTCATTGTCAATAGCACCCCCTCTTCATTTGAAGGCTCACCTCCTTGACCCATCACAGTCTTCATGGCTTCAGCTTTCATTTCCATGACCAGCTTCATGTCTTCCTCAGATAAGCTATCAAGAGGCTGCAAATCAGTCTTGTTGCAGACAATGATCAGAGGTTTATTCATAAAAAGAGACTTGATGCTGTGAAAAAGAGCAACCTGCTGGGCAATGCTGTAGCCACAGGAGCCTGAGATGTCCAAGAAGAACAATACTGCAGCTCGTAGGTGGGCTAGCGCAGTAATGCTGCACATCTCAATAATGTTACGGTCTTCAAATGGCCTGTCCAAAATTCCCGGTGTATCAATCACTTGGTACCTCAGGTACTTATAATCTGTATGACCCACAAAGAGTGACTTTGTGGTGAAAGCATAAGGTTGGACATCCACATCCGCCCTGGTGATCTTGTTCATAAATGAGCTTTTACCAACATTAGGATACCCACAAATCAAGATTGTCCGAGTATTTGGATCAATTGAAGGCAGCCTAGCCACGTGTTGTCTGATCTGCTCTAGATAAGCCAAACTTGGACCAATCCTTTTTATTACAGTACACATGCGACCTAAAGCAGCAATCTTCAAAGACTTGCACCTATATAACGAGTCACCATACTTCAACAGCTTCACATAATCTTTAGCAATCTTACTAATAAGGTTCCTAGCAGTATTTATTTGGCCAAGAGCAAGCTTGTAGTGGTCCTTGTTATACAGCACATGAAGAAGGTCCCCATAGAAAGGGTGAATATCATCCAGACGAGGGAACTCATCAATAATCGTTGAGAGCTTCTCATGAAAATTCTGCTGTGTGTACTTCACTTTGCGCATATAAAATTGGCGGAGACGGGAAATGGCATAGCCCTTGTGGACAACAGTTGGTGTTTGCCGTTGGGTGCGAGACAGGATGATATCAATGAAATCCTTCCCGTTGGGTACAACAGTTATCTTCTTAAAATTATATTGCACCATTTTTCTATATCACTCTGCAAAAACCAATAAGGATTAGGTTCAAATCCAACCAACAAACAGCTAAATTTTTCAACAATTTTTTATATCACTCTGCAAAACCAAAATGGATCAGGTTCAAATCCAACTAACAAACAGCTAAATTATTCAACAAAATTTTCTATATCACTCTGCAAAACCAATAAGAATTAGCTTCAAATCCAACTAACAAACAGATAAAATTTTCAACAAAATTTTCTATATCACTCGGCAAATCCAATATAGATTAGGTTCAAACCCAGAATAAAGTTTATAACCCTAGCAACAAAAGGTAAAAAGCTTAAACAATCAAAACCTTGAAACTAAGATGAATTATGACTCGAAAATGAAAATAAAAAATTACATGATTAATTAAAATCATAAAAGAGTTTAAAAAGTTTCTGATAAATTATAAAACCTTTTTAAAAAATTAGGCTAATGAAAATTTAAGTTATAAAAAAGGGCGTACCTTGGATCTTCCGGTGCAGAGAGTAAAGAAGGAAGGAAGATGAACTGCTAGGGTTTTGGGGTTTAGACTTTCAGGTTTAATGGGGCTAGGGATTTCGGGAGGTTTTATTATGGATCGAATTTAACCTCCAATCGGATCAACTGTGGTTGGGTTTGGCTACCCTAACTCATTGTCCCATTTTTACTTACTAAGTACGACCCAAGTCGTTGTTTGTTTGTTTTTTTTTTTTTTTTCGAAGAGTACTTCAAACAGAAATGAATAATATTTGTAAGAGGCGTTTTTTTTTAATATATATTTTTTGTTCTTTATTTTCAATTTTTATTAAGAAATAAATTTATGTTTCTATTTCAAAAGGACAATGTTTCAAAAATTGAAATGAAACTTGAGTCGATGGGACAATTGATTCCAGTTCAACAGGCTGGCTCAATAAAAAATTTATTGTTTAAAATATGATTTTCATATTAAATAAATATTAAAAGCAAGGCATATTTAACAAAAAAATATGTCTGTGATTTAGTGACTTTGATCATTAATAAAAGATTAAAAGATAAAACTGATTTAATGTTAAATAGATTCAATTTAATTTGATTTATCTTGCTTTTGATATTTATATGACAATAATAATTAATGAGTAACATGATAATAATAATAAAGTATTTATGAATATTTACGAGTAAAGATTTATTGTTTTAATATGTAAAAATAAATTTTTTTATTTCTCAAGCAATCATATTTAATTATTTAATTATAAATCATTTAACAAAAAATTTTCTAATTATACATTTATACAAATACATTATTTTGGATTTACCGACTAGGGCTAGGCTTGAGCAGTGGTTTGGTATTGCAACTCCGTAACCCAAAAGTCCTAAAGGGCCGGCTTAGCATCGTTAGTCATCTGAAAAAGGAAACCCCCCTCTCTTATTCCCTTTTTCAGCCCCTCCCAAACTACTTGTCCAAAAATGTTGAGACTCAGACCCAGGCTAACGCCAATGCTCTCGCTTCCTTCCTCTCATTTCCTTCACTCCTACATCCCAAACCCACGTTTTATTTCCTCTGCTTCACTTCCCCAAACTCTCCTAACATCTTCTTCTTCTTCTTCTTCTCTTCCTCCTAAACCTGTTTCTTCACTCAACAATGCTGCAACTTTCAATAGTTTTAATCTCGACCCTCGCTTTCTCTCTTGCTGTATGCCCGATAAACGCCTTAAAGTGGCGGTTCTCCTTAGTGGTGGCGTTGATAGCAGCGTCGCTCTTCGTCTCCTCCATGCCGCTGGTCACTCCTGCACCGCTTTCTATCTCAAAATATGGTTCCAAGTAACCCCTTTAACACCTTTCTTCATTTTTTTTGTTTAAATTTATTTTATGTTTGTTGACATTCACATATACATAGTCTTAAAAATAAGGCTTTCCTCTGGTTATTAGTGTTTGATATTTGGATTGTTGGTGGGTGACTTTGTTCTGCATTGAATAGAAACAGTCCTTTAAAGTGTGTATAAACAAGCTGACACAAGTGTTAGTTGTACGTGTTGGACAAAATTCTTTTTCGGAAGTTAAAATTAATTTAATTTTAAAAAAGAGTGTGAAAATTATGTAAGTTCATCATATTGAGTCAAGGTCAAGTGTTGCCATTTGAATGGTCCAGGTTATGGATTCTTAATTGATTTTCTTTAATTAAAATTAGATTTATGTTGGAGCATTGGTATTAAGTAACAGGTTGCCCATCCATAAAAATTGACTTTGAATCGTCATAAGTAACAATAAAATGAATGTTTAATAAAAAGAAACTTAGTTATGATTTCCTGGTACATAGTGTCTATAGCTTGCTTTGTTATATGGGGATGTGGCATTATGTGGGTAACATGAGGAATGGCTTTTGATGGGCATAACCTGGAGCTAAGTTTTGATTGTGAAAAGTTGTACTTTACCCATTTGATTACATAAAGATAATTTTTTAATTTGGGCGGTAACATGAGCTTTTATATTTGGATTGCATCATGATATTTGACCAATAGAAATGGTGGATATGATTTGATCAAAATAGTGGAAATATATGGTTCATGATCTTTATGCTGAAGTATGCATTTATATCTTCTTTATCCATCACATTACTTGATTGGTTTGAGTCTCAGATAGAGGGTATAACATGATATAGTTTCTTGAAACAATTTACTTTTTAGATGATTAAAAGTTTCCTATGTGCTCTTATGTTGAATTGACATAAAAAATTTTGAAACTTTTATGGTGAGAAAAGAAAATATCAAGTAGTTGCAAGTATGGTAGTTAACTTTTCACTATGCAATGTGATGTTGAAAACTATTATTTGGTGATAAAAGTTAAAATGAAAATTGAACTATGATAATTTCATAGAATATATCCTTGATTTCTTCCAAACAAAAAAAGGAAGAAGAAGATGTCCTTGATAATTGAACTAAAAGATATTGTTTAATAAAAGAATGGATCTTCAAACATTGTGGGAGTGTTGGTTTCTTGAAGCATCTAGAAACAAAATAAATAAAATTCCACAATGGCATACTAAAAATTTGTTTGAGATAGCTTAATTTTGAACATAACTTTAAAGTGTGTAAAGTGCCAAGATAGACTAGTAAGCCTATAATTGCTCATTGGAAACCCATTGGAAGAGTTTTTGGACATGTTAAAAGGACTAAAAGGTTTGTTCTATTTCATTCATGTTATCTGTTATACTAGAAGGATATTTTGTATACAAGTGTAATCACTTGCAAATTTGGAAGGCTGTAAACAAGTTGAGCTTGAACGAATGTGGTTTGTTTGTATTGTTCGTCTATGTTTAAGACTGTTCATTATCAGTTCATGTTGAATTTTTTAAGTGGTGATGAAGCTCAAATTGTTTAAATGGGATATAATTGAGCTTGGTTCAAGCTAGGTTCATTTTAGTTAAATAAACTTGTTTATGAACATTAAACATACATGTTAACAAATTTACAATCAAACATGTTTGCAAACAATTAAACCATGTTCGTGAACAATAAACAAATCATATCAAACAATGAATGAGCTTTAAACGATCTTTTAAGTGATCTTATAATCGAGCTTGTTCATGAAAATAAACAAATATTAAGCGAATAGACCGAATAGATACTGAATATGTTAACAAACTGTTTGTGGACCACTCTGTTCATTTACAGCCCTACACATCAGGTTGGATTTTTACTTTTAGAGGTGGTGCAATTGGTTAAGTTTCCAAGAAGCAAACTTGCATCTTACATTCAACTGTCAAATCTGAATTAATAACTTTGCTGCTGTAGACTAGGATTTAAATTGGCTGGAAAGCTCTCTAATGGTTTTTGAGTTGTGACCACAAGCAAAACCAGCCATTTCCTTGCATTGCAATGAGGATGCTACATACTCTAAAGCACATAGTTTTATAATGGTAAGTATCGACATATTAGCCTAAAACATGATTTCTTTAGAGAATTACTCTCAAATGTGGAAATTATCATACCTTTTGTAATAGTTGCTATGATTCTGCACATCCTCTTCCCAAGTATTACCAAGATATTGGCTAAGAATTGTGAGTGGAATGGGTTGAAACATTATTATCAGTAGACATTGGTAATGACAACCCAACTTTGAATGAGTAAAAACTACTTGCAGAGGGTAATGAGTAATAACAAGTTGTTGAATTATGTCTGTCAGCACTAGTTAACGCATTCCAAACAATTAGTGATTACCATTGACTATTGCTTGAATGTTTAGGCTATTAATGAAGTTGTTTCACATCAAATGTCTAAAGCAATAGTGACATTAGGAAAACTTCACCTATATAAACATAGAAACAGTGTTGTTTTAGTAAGAGACTTACTCTCTTGTAAATCTGTTATAAACCTCTAAGAGAAATTAAATGAGTATCATATTTGTTGTACCTTCAAGTTTAGTACAAGCTGTGGGTTAATTTATAGTGACCAGCAACTTTATTAGAATTTTAAGTTACATATGCTAGTTGAAGGTTTAAGTATGAGAAACCTTTTTGTACGCATAATACTTCTTTTTAAATGTTTTTGTTTAACGAACATTCCAAACTAGTGGAGAATTGAAGATAATTTGGATCCTTGGTGATGACTGTCCAATATTGGAAAGAAAAAGTCCTTTAAGGTGTTTTGTTGGTTATAAGTGTTGGGAATTGCTTGTGAAATTGACTTGTAAACGCAATGCAAATTTAAAATTTTTCAATTCTCAAACCCTAGGATGTTGTTGATAAAAACTCAATACAATCATGCAACAAAATCAATGAGCAGAATTTCTATACCTTGGGTAGCTGTGTGTGCTAATCATGAAGAAACATCATGTTTGGTTGTTGTAAACCCAATATATTGCAATAGGCATTAGGCCTTTAGTAATTTCTCTATTTGGGCCTCTAATTAGTTTTAACCCAATAAATTAAGTCCAATTTAATTTAACTCAATTTTAATCTTTCAAAAGTCACATTCTTGGAGACAAAGTTTTCAAAATTTTCAGCCTTGATTAACAAGATGATTTTCTTCAAAATCTTGGTGAACTTATTCATTAATATCATAACAAATAAGGAAATCCTAATCAAATTAGGAAACCAAATGGAAGCAGCTGGCTGAATCCTGTGCTAGTAAGATATGCACTTTCTCTATTTTGTTTTCTCTCAATTCATTCTCAATGCATGAGATTGATTGTACCATTGAATAGCATCGAGTGAGGGGGCAGCTAGACTTCTTCAAATAGAGGAAGAGTTTAGCCAAATCGTATTCCAAATAAGATTAAGAGGTGTGGCCGACCATGCCTTATTGCAATAGGCTTTGAGCCTTTAGTAATTCTTTTATTTGGGCTTGTAATTAATTTTAGCCCAATAAATTAAGTGCAACTTAATTTAACCCAATTTTAATTTTTTACAAGCCATGTTTTATTGTGTGTGACCCATTAGGTTCGTTAACATGTTGGCAATAAATATAAGCATTATAATTCTTAATTAAATTTGAAATTAGTTTAACCATGTCAAATCTCAGTTTAGGCAATTAACTCTGCAAATGAGATTTAGAACTATTCCAAAACTTCATTCCACTTCAGTAGAGATTTCATTGGTTAATCCTTGTTAAGACTAATTGAGATATTCTCTCAATTACTCAAGGTGATGAATTTTATATTGATCATTTATGTATCTTTATATGTCTCATGTTATAACAAAAAATACCCGATTGGGGTATCCATGTTTAGAAGCATAAGGAAAAATCAAAGTATAACATTTTTCATAT